GGGCGGGAGCCGCTCCCACGCGGGTCTCAGCCCGCCGCTCGCCAGTCCCGGTCCCTAGTCCACAGAGCTCCAGATTGGCCAAGTGAACTCTGAAGCTTATGGAAATAAGGCCATAGACATGGCAGTTGTTGAAACAGGAACTTTAAATACAGTTTACTTAATAAAAATAAATACTGGGAAGAAAAAAAGAGCATCCACCAGCCAGAAGAGTCACTGGCTACTTCACCTAAAGTTTTTTTTTTCCAATTACAGTTGACAGTCACTACTATTTTATGTTAGTTTCACGTGTACAGCATAGTAGTTAGACATTTATGTAATTTACGAAGTGACCCCTGATAAGTTTAGTGCCCACCGGACACCATCAGTAGTTACTACAATATCGTTGGCTATAGCCCCTGTGCTCTGCTTACATCCCCATCACCGCAGGTGTCTAACACGTTAGCTTTAGATTCTGTCTTTGGCAAGATTTGCCCTCCACCCCCATCCTGGGGAAGGTTTTTTGTATCCTTAGGAAGGACTCCCTTGTATAATATACAAACTTTTTCTTTATCCCTCACCTGAGGATACTACTTCCATTGCTTTTCAGAGAGAGCGGAAGGGGGAGAGAGAGACATCAGTGTGAGAGAGACATATCAATCGGTTGCCTCCCGCAGGCACTGGGGCCAGGGATCAAGCTTGCAACTGAGGTACGTGCCCTTGGCCAGAATTGAACCCAGGACCCTTCAGTCCGCCGGCTGATGCTCTAACCACTGAGCCAAACCTGCCAGGGCACAAACTTAACTTTTGAAGAGTGATTCAGTTATATATTTTCAAAGGGAGAGAGTAATAGTAAATAGGATGAATATATACAATTGAAGAGATTCAAAGAGACATTTTTCTAGCTATGAGATTAACAGGAGATAAGATAAAGTATCCATCTGAAAAGAGGTTTTTAAACTTTTAGAAATGAAGAAGACATACCACTTACCTCAGTGTTTTTGCTTTAGGGAAGGCAGGAGACGATAAACGCAGTCCCAGTTTCCTGATGTATAATACTAGCTACTTAATAGCATTGCTCCAGCCGTGGCCGCTGTGGCTCGGTCGGAGTGTCAGTCCCTTCAGGAAGCATATCTGGGCTGCAGGTTTGATCCCCAGTGAGGGCTGTGGGGGTGTGTACGGGAGGCAACTGATCCATGTTTCTCTCCCTTCCTCTTTAATCAGTAAAACATCCTCAGGTGAGGATTAAAAAAAAAAAAGGCCCTGGCCAGTGTGCTCAGGGGTTACAGTGTCAGCCCTCACACCGAAGGGTCTTAGGTTCGATTTCCAGTCACGGGATCGTGCCTGGATTGCAGGTTCCCTCCCTGGCCCTGGTCGGGGCTGTGCGAGAGGCAACCAGGTGCTGTGTCTCTCATACCAGTGTTCCCCCCCTCTCCCTCCCCGCCCTTTCCACTCTCTAAAAATCAATGGAGGGGGAAATACCCTCAGGTGAGGATTAACAACAACAAAAATAATGTTGCTCTAAAGGGTAAAATAATGTTTTCTGGCACATAGCAGATAACTGGTAAGTGGTCACTTCTTTTATGGATTGATTGCTTATGAATAACTTCTAGTTAGCAGACTGATAAATGCTGTAGAGAGCTATGACCTTGTTACAGGAACACAGAGAAAGAAAAGATTGTTTTTAAGCTGGGGAATTAGCAGAGCGTTTCATGGGAAAGGTAGCTTTGAGATGGCTCTTGATGAATGAGTGCAGGTTTGACATGTGGAAATTGGGGGCTAGGCCATACCACAGAGAAAGACTAGCATGAGCAAAGCTTGGAGGCAGGAGAGCAGCTGTGCCTGGAGTGGTTTCCTTGGTGCCCTCTTGGCGTCAGCGTCTCTAGGTCTTTCACATGGAGCTGGTCAGATTTTCCAGTCAAGAGTCTCCCCAGCTTCTGCCTTAGGGGACAGCCCTGTTCTGAGAAGAGGCTCTTAGAAGAGGCTGCGTTTCTCAGCACACAGCAAGACTATTTCCGTTTGTATTCTTTTGGCTTAGGCACAGTAGTGTGCCTGTTTTACCTTTTCCAGAGAAGTCTCCAATTCTCTGCTGATGTGGCGGATGGACAGCTGCCCTTGAGTTAGGACGTGGGGTCTAGGGATCAAATTACTTTGAGCCAATCCTCGTTATTTTATAACCTCCCTTTATTCCATTTTCAGAGCTACAGGTGTCCTAATTCCTGAGCCTTTTAAGTATTTTGTGTTGTGAGTATAGGACTGGTTCTTGGTTTTCTCCACTGCTGATTTAGGATTTAGGCTTCCGGTATGCTAAGTTGGTTGTTGCTCATTCATTTTTTTCTTCTAGCTTCAGGTATTTCACTTGCAATACTCTCCTCTCNATTCATTTTTTTCTTCTAGCTTCAGGTATTTCACTTGCAATACTCTCCTCTCCTTTTCTTTCTGTACATATGGGCTTAAAGCTTTTAAAAAAAAAAAGGAAGAAAGAAAGTAAAACCCTATAGTTTCTAATGGGCTTTTAGGACCAAGTAAAATAAGAAAGTAGATGTATATTTTAAGTGTGCTATGCTTATTTTGAACCCAAGTTACTTTATTTTCTTATTATGTTATAACTAGAGCCATTGCTTTAGTACAAAACTCCCTCTTTAAAAAGCCAGTGCTGGTTGGGGGAGGGGTGGGGANTGAAAAATTATGCAGCTGTAAAAAAGAAGGATCCCTTGCCCTTTGAGACAGTATGGTGGGATCTGGAAGGTATTATGCGAAGTGAAATAAGTCAGTCAGAGAAAGACAAGTGTCACATGATCTTACTCATATGTGGAATCTAATGAACAAAATACACCAATGAACAAAATAGATCCAGAGACATAGAAGCATGGAAATGACTGACAAATCTCAGAGGGAAGGCGGGGGAGAGTGTGTGGGTGGGGACAGATTAACCTAAGAACTTACGTGCATCTATGCATAATCCATGGACACAGACAATAGTGTGCTGAAGGCCTAGAGAGGGGATGCAGGGTGGAAGGGATCAATGAGGGGGGAAGGGGGACATTTGTAATACTTTGAACAATAAAGATAAATTTTTTAAAAATCCAATGCCGGCTATGAATTGACATAATGAGACAAAATACTATTGTTATATTTTCTTCTGATTTACTAACTAAGAGTCAAGGAAATGTCTGAGGACCAGGATTGTTTTAAAGTCTCTGGAAAAATTGAAAGAATTCTGCCGCGATTCTGCCCTTCCTCAAAATCAAGTCCAGAGAGAGCCTCTTCAGGAGAGATTTGCAGTTCTGCCAAAATGTACTGATTTCGACGATATCAGTCTTCTGCGTGCAAAGAATGCAGTTTCTTCCCAAGAGTCCAGATCTCAAACTAGTCAGAAGGTGTGTAACAGAGTGACAAATACCCAACTCCCCAGAATGGTAGGTTCTAAAGTGCCTTGAGGTTCTTTGGGTCCACTCGGGGCATGGTTCCCAAACTTGGCTGATCATCTAAATTAGTTCAGGGAACTTTTACCTTTTATTTTATTTTATGTTATTTTATTTTATTATTTTATTTTATATTTTATTTTATTATTTTATTATTTTATTTTATTTTATCTTTTTATTTTACTTTATTAAGTCCCTGGAGATTCTGATTTACTGTGTATTAAGGAGGGATGAATTGGTTGTATTAAAACAAAACAAAGCAAAAGCTTCAGGTGATTCTGATGTATGGGGCGTGGATAAGGAGCCATTCACTGACTTGGGGGATTCTTTGCTGATAGGACAAGCTCAGTTTCTTAAAGTCCTCTTTATGGCCTCCATGGTCAACTGGGATGGTCACAGTGGGCCACTTATATAGATGTTCTGAGGTTTTCAGTTGAAAGCTTGGCTGACATAAAGTAAATTCAAAGGTAAACCAACTGAATATGGGTCCTTCTACTGTTTTATAATTTATTGATGTTTTTCACCATTGCAAACTCAGGGAATTTAACTCTTGCACCATCATTGAAATCTACAATTCATAATAGTGGTTTTCAGCCCAGCTTTAAATTAGAATCTCTGGAACACTTAAAATACTGATAGCAAAACTTTTCCTTAGAATTATATAACTGGTTTTTAACTGTTTTTCGATAAGAACTGGACGTGGACTTTGTTTAAGAACTCTCACTTTAATGTGCAGCCTGATTGAGAACCACTGAATTAGAGAAGTAGTCTTTACTTTTTTTTTCTTTTTTTTTTTGAGTGATTTAAATCTAATGAAAGCTATAGATTCTTTTCTCAGAAAAATACCAAGCTAAAATCCATTGGCTTATCTTAGGTCATCAGGGGAAAAGGGTGTTTTTGTTCTTTAGTACCTAAAAGCAGTTAGCCAGAATCTCATAAAATACAGAGGTTGAGCATCGACCCATGAACCAGGAGGTCACTGGATCAGTTCCCTATCAGGGCACATGCCTGGGTTTTGGGCTCAATCCCCAGTAGGGGGCGTGCAGGAGGCAGCCCTTCAATGTTTCTCATGGATGTTTCTATCTCTGTTTCTCTCTACCCCTCTCCCTCCTCTCTCTCTAGAAAAATCATTAAAGTATTAAAACATTTTATCTACTAAAGTTCACAATTTATTAATTGGGGAATTTACTGTAGGACCTCACAAGAGCCTGTTTACTATAGCTTTATGAATAGAATGACCAACTTGGCATCTCTGATTCATAGAAAATTAGAAGTAACCAGTTAGAAGGGACACCTAGAAGTAGTATATGGATATTATTACAAGTGATAGCTGAGTATTTAATGGCATGGAAGGACACAGACAAATGGAAAAAAGCTACTGAATAAACTTGAATGCCCAGTGGTCTGGGACTGTTAGTGTGGGCTCAACAACCCCATAAGCCTTGATAGGTCCTAAAATTCCCATTTTATTAACCTGATCAGCCTGAGTTGTCAGGACAAGTTAAACTGAGTTCAGAATGCCGTCTCTGGGAACGTGAAAGACTACAATGTATCTGAGGAGTATTTTGCTCCAAGTGCTGAAAAAATGTTGCTTATTGCTCAAGTATACAGATTGACCTGTGTATGTGAACCTTTTTCCTGGATGCCTCCTCTCACTCAACATATGAGTAAGGACTTTATAGTAAGGAGTTTTTCCCCCTAGGAAATACATATATATAAATTTCAAACCTACCAAAAAAATTGCCTTAATATACTGTGTTCCCCTCAAGATTCACCAGTTAGGTTTGTGTCAAATTTGCAGTCTCACTCTGGGAACTAATGTTATGGTTAGTACTTTTTAAACTCTCAAAATCTCTTGGTTGCCAGGACAAGACACTTTCTGATCTCAGTCATTTTGGATCACCACATGGGAGTTGTGAAAACTTACAGAAAATCCCTGATTCTAAACCACCTAACAAAAGAACCAAAAGCATCTACACGCCATTAGAATTACAGTACATAGAAATGAAGCAGCAGCAGAAAGATGCAATTCTGTGTGTGGAATGTGGATATAAGTATAGATTCTTTGGGGAAGATGCAGAGGTAAGTTGTTCTTTCAAACACCGTTTCATATTTTTCTTGTCCAGCCTTAAATATTTTCCAGTTTTTTTCATTTTTGTTTTTTTTAAATATATTTTTATTGATTTCAGAGAGAGGAAAGGAGAGGGAGAAAGAGAGAGAGAAACATCAATGATGAGACTCACTGATCAGCTGCCTCCTACACGCCCCCAACTGAGGATCGAGCCTGCACCCCGTGCATGTGCCCTGACCGGGAATCGAACCGCAATCTCCTGGATCCTAGGTCGATGCTCAACCACTGAGCCACGCCCGGTTGGGCCAGTTTTTTTGTTTCATTTTTTGACCTTATGAAGAAGTTTATGTAATCAATTACCCTTTAAAACTGCTGTCCTGTAGCACTAGCCGATTTCACTCAGTAGCTAGAGCCTCAGCCCTCGGACTGAAGGGTCTTGGGTTCGATTCTGGTCAAGGGCACGTACCTTGGTTGCAGGCTCGATCCCAGGCCCCTGTCGGGGCACGTGAGGGAGGCAACCAATCAGTGTGTCTCTCTGACATCGATGTGTTCTTTTTCTCTCTCTCCCACTCTCTCTGAAAAGCAATGAAAAAATATCCTCGGGTGAGGATTTAAAAAAAATGAAAAGCTTTCATTTAAAGTAAAAACTAGAACACAAACGTGTTGAGTGCTAGACTGGTGGGGAAGGAGATGAGGGTTCCTGTTGGAATGTTGGTGCTCCTCCATGGTGTTCACTTAATACCTTTCATCCATCAAAAGCTGGACGAATCAATTAGTAAGTGAACCATAATCATGTGTTTCCTAATGAAAACTCCAGCAAGGAAAAATTTTTGAGATGTAAGTTCCTCTGTTTATCCTTAATTTATGAATTTTCACAGCCAGTAGCATTGTTAAGTCTCAATAGAAGAGCCCATTAACTCTACCAGCCACCAATAATGTTTGAAGTCTTACAGGTCTCTCTATATTAGTCACATTGCTCTCTTGGTCTAAGTTGGGTTTGTATTTAATTTGGGGTATTTGACGTAGGCCTAAGTTAAGAAGGTTAGAAGTGAACTTGAGTATTTAAGGGCAGGCTTAAGGAAATGCTTTGTTGGAGTCCTGGGTGGTTTTGATGATTCCATAGTTTTCAGGCCTGGTTGGGTTGCACACCATCAGAGTGATGAGGTGGCACTTCTGCCTCATGGATGGGGAGTGAAGACTTGGCCAACTTTTTTCTTCCAGTTTCCTAAATCCTGTTGTGGCAGGAAAGTGGTATTGTCTAGTTCAGATGCCATTGGGCTGTGTTCTGTGTTAAAAGTCAGATTTGAGACAGCACGTTTGCTGCAGACGGGAACACGTATGTAGTTAGTACCCGATAAGTGAAGGGGTGAAAGGAAATACTGTTCTCTCCCCTTCTCTCTAGGTCAAATGATAGATTGAGCCTTGACCACAGTAAAGGCTTATGTTTCCCTGCCCTGCCCTGCCCTGCCCGGATGAACTAATACAGTTCAGAAATGGATAGGGCAGGGGAGTAAGAATGTTGGAATGAGAGCTCTGTGGCTCTGGTGGGCAGCCTCCGAGCCGTGGTCCTGTCTAGAAGGCAGGGTGCCAGGTGGTACTGCCCGGCTCTGCATTTCTATCACTCGTGCATCACAATTGGCTAACCTCACCGGGGGTTCTCTTCTCACTTCCTCAAAGATGCCCTCTGTCCAAGTAGGTTTATAATTTATGTACACATACCCTTAGTATCTCCTAATTTTCAGTTATTTGCATGTGCTATGGTATCAAATTCTTATTCCATTACAGTTTCTTATTCTAGTCCCATTACAGAGAAAGCTCAGCACTTTAAAGTTTTGATGGAGCTAAGGACATAGAAAAGGACCTGTCATTTACTTCCGAGTCATTTGTAGATACAGATGCTGACCCAGAGCTTAGGCCATGGGAACTGCCAAAAATACCAGGTGAAACTGTAGGCTCCTGCATAGGGAATGACTTCTAAACTTTTTATGGATGTACCACAGAGAAGGGCACAAGTCCTGCGGGTTTATCTCAATGGATTTTTAACAAACTGAACAAATATCACACAGGGGATCTTGAAATAGAAATTTATTGATATTCTCTATTTCAATTTTTTAGATTGCAGCCCGGGAGCTCAATATTTATTGCCACTTAGATCACAGCTTCATGACAGCGAGCATACCGGCTCACAGACTGTTTGTGCACGTGCGCCGCCTTGTGGCAAAGGGATATAAGGTCAGCTTTGGCTTCAACTTGTGGGAAAAGGGGTCCGATTCTCTTCCAGAGAGAAAACATGTTTTGTAAGGTGGTAGCTCTAATCGGTTTAGAATTTGGCATTTTGGGGAAATGAAAGTATGTCATAATTATTAGCATTATATCTTCATGAGCTTTAACATATTAGATATTTAGGCTAAATTTTTAAAAAACTGGTGTTTTAGTTAACCTTTTAAAATCTCAAAACATGTTTTAAAATTTTTTATCATGTTTGATATTTAATATTTCTTATTTCTGTTGAAGGTAGGAGTTGTGAAGCAGACTGAAACAGCAGCGCTGAAGGCCATTGGGGACAACAAAAGTTCACTATTTGCCCGGAAATTGACTGCTCTTTATACAAAATCTACACTTATTGGAGAAGATATCCTTTTTGAATGGGAAATTTTCTCTTAAATTTTAGAAATCTTTGTTTTAAGTAGCACTTTAAAAAAGCACTGTTCTCTGGATGGGTATCTTTTTGATGATGAGGCGGTGTCATTCCTCTAGCTTTCCGTCAGTGTGCTCCTGGAGAGCTGTGGGTTGGTAATGGCTGGAAACACACATTGTTTTTTTCTAATGCCATAGTGAAGGAGAGTGCATCATACTTTAAGAGCAAGAAAAAGGACAGCCTGATAAAAGATGACTGCAGGTTAGCAACTAACTTGCAGTCACAACTTTCCTATGCCAGGATGGGCAGTGGTTAGGCACTTAGGCTTATAAGCTCCTTCAGATCTTCCTAAACAGGACCTAAAAATAACTTCCTAACTTCAAAATGAGAAAAGAAAACCACGAAGTCAACACACAGTGAACTGCTCATGGAATATAGTCCATCTTCTTTAATTGTTAGCTTCATGAAAATTGTATTATTTTTGAGAGTGGATTATAGGTGAAGCTTTCTCACTTTTTAAGAATCCTTAGTGTGCACAATGATTGCCCCAAAATTTATGGCCATTCATAAATTCAGTGAGTTATTTAAAGCAAGAGGACTTTAATAGAAAAGTCATAAAATTCTGTCAATTTTTTAAAAACAAATAATTATGTATAAAATGAAATAAGGATATATTTTCAAATGTATATGAGATGGAGTCAGATCTCGGGATGAAAGGATATAAGGGTGAAGTCTTAAGTGATACTGCATGAAAGTAAAATTTCTGTTTCAGGTTATTACAAACCTGCATATTTAGAGACCTGCTCAGATTCTGTCCAAATGGTGAAGACTTTTGTTTTATTAATATCATGAATAGGGAATGGCTATCACTCAAGATGAGCCCCAAGCCATGAACAGTTCTGTGTACTCCATGCTGATGAGGCTGTAAGACTGTGGTAATTTTATTGTTTCTTTTGCCTGAACTTGAGTCTCTTAACGGAATCCTAAAACAGTTCTCCTCTCTGCTTCTCTTCTGCTACTGCGATAGCTCCTCTGCTGATGCCCAGATTGGATGTTCCCAGACTGACCTTGTCTAAAATCAGCATTTATCCCTGAGAATTTAATTAATGGACTCAACACATATTCACACACATATACACACACATGCACATAGACACGTATGAATGTATGTTTCTGTTTCCTTTTTTTTTTTGCGCGTTTTTCTATAGTTTTTTTAAAAATACATTTTCATTAATTTCAGAGAGAGGAAGGGAGAGGGAGAAATAGGAACATCGATGATGAGAGAGTCATGGATCAGCTGCCTCCTGCACCCCCCC